TGTGACGCGGAGTTATTGCTTGCCAGCCAATCGAATTACCTTCGTGTTGGATTACTTTCTTTAATCATACACGGCGAACAATTAAACACACACCTACTACTACTACTTATTATTAGGCTAAAATTGAAGAAAACATGTATTCCAATTAAAAGGCAGACCTATCGGCCAGCCTCAGACTACTAGAACAATATAGTATTCTGTGTTCTCGCTGTCAATAACTTCTTCTTTCGCTCCTGTCGCCAAGGGCAACTGCACACGCTTTAAAGTTAACGGGCAAGATAACGTTTTCACACAATAAAGTTAAGGGACGTTATGTTTTTACCTTGTATACGTATGTATATGGCCCTCTAACCCCACACTACCTCTTCACTGTCATGGAAAAAAGAAGAAGAAAAACCGACGCATCAGACAATCCGCCTCCTCGGGGTCAAACCGTATAAGCCTGAAATATTTCCCGAATGTCGCCCATTGTGATCGTCGACGATGTGGGTGACGCCAGAACGTAGTTCTTCTTTAAAGCACGGAAAGAAAAAACAACGACCGGGTTAAACGTATAATTTGCATAATCGCGCGATGCGGCCGATGTTATTGTTCGAGCGCCGTCGCTTTTTGTCGAACGCGTCTCAAATTTGGAATGGCAAAAATCCCAATTTGGCAACGACTGGGAAAGAATTAACGAAACGAAACGCATTTGCGGTGCGTACCGTTTTCCGCACTGAGAACTGTAAGAAAAACATTGGGCACTCGTTTTTAATCAATGACCCTGCGGTATTCAACAAGAAACATAGCCGCTGATAGATCGTCAATAGGTATAGACGCGGCATTTTTGTGACAGTATATTCTCAAAATATTTCCACGAAAATGGCGCAAACTGCAGAATAGTGGTCAAAATGTGGAGGCATGCGCGGAAAATCAGTTCCTGCTCTACGAAAAATGCGCATTGACCATTCAACTGTAATAATAATCTCTCTAGTACGCGAAGAGAACTTCGCAATTCCAATGATGAGTAGTGCAGCTTTCTTAATGGCAAGTTTAGAAAAAAAGAAAAGAAGAAAACAACTTTGGTGACGTACTGATCTTTATTCAAAAAAAGACATGGCACTGAGCTAATGTTAGTCAAGTTATTTTTTCAATTTTTTATTATTTTTCAATATAATCCCCCTTAACTTCAATACACCTATTACATTTCTTTATTAACAACTCAATCCCTTTAAAAAAGATATTCTTTTGGTTGGTCTGCAAAATGAGCTAAAACAGCCTCAATTCAACTACGTCATTAAAACGCCGTCCACGTAAGTCGTTTTTCAAATATCCAAACAAATAGTCGCTGAGGGCCATATCTGGACTATAGGGAGGATGATCTATCTGTTGAAACCCACACTCTACAATGGCAGCTTGTGCCACACCAGCAGTATGGACAGGTGCATTATCGTGCAAATGACGCACGCCTCTGGTCAGTTTTCCTCGACGTTTTACACGTATGCAGTCTCGCAATTTATGTAATAATGTTGCGTAATATTTATCATTGACAGGGGTATTAGTTTCTTTAAAATCTATCAAAAGAATTCCTTCATACTCCCAAAAGATCGTGGCCATCACCTTTTTTGTTGACTGGCAGACTCTGAATTTTCTTGGAGCTGCTTCACCCTTACGACGCCACTCCGATTGTTTTTTCGATAGAGGGTCATAATAGAGAACCACAGTTTCATCTCCCGTCACAATAGTTTCTACAACAGATTTCGGTTCCGACCCACAGAGTTCCAAAAAAGATCGCTCACACTCAACACGGCGTTGTTTTTAAATAACCGAAAGGTTTTTAGGAACCCATCTTGCATTAACCTTATGCATACCTAAATGATCATGCGGGATTAGACGAACACTTGTATCAGAAAGCTTAGTAATTTCTGAGATTTCCTTGACCTTTAAACGTCGATTACTCAATACCACCTCTTCCAAAATCGCAACAATATCTTCCGTTATGACCTCCACTGGTCGACCAGTTCTTGAATCATCTTCAAGGGACTGCTGCCCCATTCGAAAAAGTTTTGCCCATTCTTTCACTACAGAATACGAAGGAGAACTTTGGCCGTACGCACCACCCAGCCTTTCTTTAATAATTTTAGGTGCTAACCCTTCTTTTGTCAAAAACTTTATGACTCCTCTATACTCAATTTGCGTTATTTGCGACATTCTTTCGGGCACGTCTTGTTTAAAATGCTGTCAATAAAAAACTATTTGACGCAAGACTTCAATTTTTTTTTCACAGCCTACTAAGATATACATTTAAAAGAAGACAAAGGTTTATCGTGATCCTGGAGCTGCATCTATGTCAGGCCGGGAAATTTTGGCGCTAACCTCGTACCTCGCAATCTTCAAAAACACATTAAAAGCGCACTGAAAGCAACGAACCTCTTTTATCTCCGTCTCAGTTGCGCCGCGAACATACAAAGGGACTGTAACAAAAATACTCCCTGTTTGGGGACGTTTTGTCTACGTTAAATATCCAATCTCCAATTCCATCAAAGAGACCGACAGAGAGTTGACTCACTGATCCTCCTAGTCAATCCACTGTGAGTCAAGCTTAGTTGAGAATTATTCTACGAATCATATCAATGATAAACAACTGGATTCATTACAGTTATATAGTTTTTGGTATTTTTGGTTTGTATGCTAGTAATGTTATGGTTGCAAAGCTGAGAATATTGTAGATAAAACCGATCATCTATGGTCCGATACGAGGCGCACCGAATGGTACGAAATTGCGAACGAGGTTGCCTAGTAGAACGGACATTGATCGCCACGGATCGACAGGAACATGATTGGCATCTTCATTGACTTTCAAGTTATAAGTAGTAATATCGAAACGTATCTTAGTGTAATCGAGCACGGAAATATACGGTCAGATTATTTTCCACGCGCCGCTTTTTGCCGCGAGAGTTCAACATGGAAAAATGCATTATGCATTTTTCTTTGTCCGTAAAAGAAAAAAACGCCCAACGTTTCACGCATCACACGACTTTCCTCCCATGCGACGTTACATTTTAGTGCCTTGGAAAAAAAAACGTCATATTACGACTTTTGCGTGGTTTTTTAAGACTAATCTAGATTAGGTTATAAACTCGAGCTAACTGCTTTTTTGTAAATGTTTAAAGCACAAAGTAGACGGTGATACATTGTTTATGTCATTGCGCGTTTCACTTCAGATATTGACGATTTTACAATTTAATGAGACCTCTGGCTGAAAAAAATATTAATATAGATTGCAAGCCAATTCGGAAATGATTGATAAGGTTCACGTTTGCGTTGTATTGTTTATGTTGCTATTAATTAAAATAAATTACAAGGGCCCCAAAAATATTCATCGATTTGGGTTTGGTCAGTACAAATTTATATTTTATCAATTATTCCTTGCCTTTTGGTGGAATTCAGAGATTATTTGATTCTTGACAGCACGCGTGTTGAATTGAAGATATTACGATTCAACCTAATAAACCTAAGATTTATTGGATAAGTTGACCTTTCAAACGCTGGATGCTACCATAAGAAACTGCCTGGTTTATTGACGTTTTTTAATTTAAGAAGTGTTTTTGTCATAAACGTTGAGAGCTACTTGCTCGTGTTTTCATGATATTACTTACTGAATATGTTTGGTTACCTCCGTTTTTAGCGGGTTTGTTTTGGTTGGTTACTATCGAGTTTCGTTCGCATCTATGGCCAGTTTGCCTAATTGACAAAAATACAAACACGCTCTACTATGAGAAATGTCAAACCAAACACAACTTTGTGGACAGATTTAATTTTTCCCTAAGGTTTATAATCGTTCAAATTTATGAATGACAAGCGGTAACGTCTTCGCCAAATACAGCTTTCCGAATTCACGGTGGAAACTTTGTGCTGACCACTTTCTCCTCCGTTTTTGACTCGCACTTTCTCTTTTTACGACGCCGCGCGTAAAGAAAAACGACCGTTACGGCAAAACGCCACGCCCTCCGAGCCAGATGATTTTTTATCTCGATACTCGATTGGAAATTGGCGAAGACGACTTTTACCCGTTTGACACCGTTTTGCGTGACGCGAGATTTAGCTTTGCACAAATCTTCTCTTAGCATTTTAGCAGGACCCGTTTCGGCGATTTTGAATGGCGCCGGATGACCGGACACCCGGATTTGAAAGACAACACTCATATTTATACGAGAGTGTTTATTATGTACCGGTGCAGTGAATTTATTTGCGTAATTATATTCGATATGGATAAATTTATCTACTGCGTCCATTTGGGAGAAGGGTTCGAAAGAATATAGCGATAAAATCAAAAGAAGTGTGAGCGTTAGCGAAGCTGTGTTAACGCCTGGAAAACATTTTTTTTTTCATATTTCTGTATGTATTTATAAAATTATTTTCATTTCTTGAAATATGATTGAATTATTGATAATTAGAAAAAGATCCGCCATGCCGGAAACCCGAGTTGCGTACACCAACAGATAGTTGTTTTTTCTACACCGATTAGTTTTTCCATCCCAAGATGAATGCGGATCGATTTAATTTCAGTCCCGTGTCGATATCATCGCGAAAAATCGACAACCGCATCCGCAGCGACCGCGTAAATTGTAGGTATTCGTTATACGGCCACGATGGTACCTACGTTCGAAGTTAATTCCAATTAGGGCGGAATCCGGGCTCTATTTCGTATCACAACAAAGTGAATTTCATCGGCGGCAAACGGAAACGCAGATCAAAGAGAGCGTTGCTTTGATTATAATAAATCATATGATATAGACTAAAGCAAGAACAAAAAATTGCAAAACTCCTTCATGTTTATGTATGTCTAAACATTTTATAGTTATATGTTACACCTCTTCTATGAAATCAATATACGTAGTCCCCCTTCTAGTCGCTAGGTGGCGCCACAGCTTTAAAGCAGAGCCAAAAAACTGTGGAATAACTTACCATGGACGGTATATTCGCCATCTATGGTCTTAACCTTATTCCTCTTTTTGTGCTTTGGTGGCACATGTTCATTTTTATTCGGCGTCGGTGTTTTCAGCTTTTTTCAGCGTTTTTGGAAGTTAATTGGAGAAGTACAAGTGAGATTTACGTTATTCCTTATCGGATGAAGAAAGAAACTACCTACGACGAAAGATTAAATCTTTCCATCCGCGATTACATAATCGCTAGTGGCGTGGTTCCCATCAACGAGATTTTCTTACAATTGGGAGACGATTTCTTCATCGTCCGGGTTCCGATCGGAATCCCCAGAACTCGAAAGACCCCCCATCTTTCCCACTTATACGACAGCAGTCGTATGTAAGTGTTTCACAATTGGAAGCAATCCTTTTGTGAGGGGGTCGGCCATACATATGGTTTTATATTTTTTCGACATCGAAAAAATAGAGTTTTCTGGCTCGTCCGGCTATGGATGAGGCGCCCGGGATACTGGGACATAATGAACAATTTTTTATGGCTGTTGGAATGCATTTACTCCATCGTAAGTATATTTTTTAGGCCCTTCAATTAATTCTGATGTCATTGTTGAGCCCCTTGAGACGGATTTAAAGCAAAATGGCCTTTAAGCTATGGGGTCGATAGTCCCAACACAAAGTTTGATGTGTCATGACATTTTGGCAAGTCAGATTAATACCTTTTTGAAATCCGGTGTGTCCGAAGATTGTCTCAGTGACCTTTTGCGTTGATATCCTGTGCCGAAGAATTGCCCGCTCAATAACTCTCCTAAATTGAATGTGCAGATGAAATCTGCCATCAACAAAGGTGGAAAGAAAAGGGATGAGAGACTGACTGCAACAAGGGGTGCTTTGATGGTGGTTGGTAGGACGCTCTTGACCTTGCTTTTGAAACTGGTTAAGGATGAGTAGTACTTACTTCTCATCGAAATGTTGAGTAATGCAATATTTGTTTTAAGCAAAATACACCATTTAGGTTCAGTATATAGAAGTTCAGCCGCGTTAAGCCTTTCGCTGGTCTCAAATGAAATGCAGCCTTGTATGAAGGAAGTGCTCGTTGATGCTTCTTTGCACTCTTGTTTATATGGAGAAGATTTGGCTGATAGGCTCAAATCAATCAGATTAGCTGCAGATTAGTGGCCGAGTTAAAGTCAGGTGCATCCGGAACAAGACTTTTATAGCATACAAATTTAAACTCGACTGTCCCACTTCGTTCCCGGAAGTTGCAAGGCTGAAGTGGGTGAAAGTCATTGTACCCTCAAAAGAGGGAATACAGGAAGGTTCGAGAGGAAAGGGGGTGGAGTTGTGTCCCCAGGAAAAAATAGTAAGTACTTTTGTTGAAAGATTGCACGAGTTTCGGGACATTTGGAACTCTAGAACTCAAGATGCACAGATTCTACCTTGGTTAGATGGATATAAAATTCCATTTGCGAGGCCAGTTATACAGGACTTGATTACGACAGATCCTGTTTGGTCCCAACAAGAAAAAGATTCAATTTGTAATGTGGTCAAACACCTGTTAGAGATAGGTGCAATGCAGTTTGCGAACCTTGTAAGAATCAATTTATTTTACAGATCTTTTTGGTTTCAAAATTGGATGGTTCGGTTTGATTAGTTTTAAATTTAAAGAAACTGAATGCTTTTATTGACACTTGTCATTTTAAACTGGAAGACAGAAAATTAGTAGAAACACTCTTCACAGGGAAGTCCTTTATGACCACCTGGACTTGAAAGAAGCTTACTTTCTAGTCCCAATAATTGAAAATCAAAAGAATTTTCTAAGATTTTATTTTGATGCTCTCTGTTATCAGTTTAACGTGTTACCCTTTGGTTTATGCACCGCCCCGTGGGCCTTTACAGAATTAATGAAATCTGTGGTTTCTTATCTCCCTGCCAAGGCTTTTCCCTCAATAGTTTATTTAGATAACTTTACTATTTGGTGATAGTTAGCTATCCTTAAAAAATGTTCAAGTAACTTGCAACACACTGATTAGGTTGGGTTATGTTATTAATTATAAGAATGTTTTACATCCTTCGAAATCCCGTAAATTTTTAGGTTTTGTTTTTTTGAATCCCACCACTTGTTTTTCTGATGAGTAAGTAAGTTTTGCAATTTGAACCATTGCGAAATAAGAGTCTTTGCCGAGCTTTGTGCTGTGCTAGTTTTCAGTTTGCCCAGCAGTTTGTTACAGTTGGGTATATACTAAGAATTTTTGAGAGAATCAAATATCTAGCCCTTCAAGACTCTGTCGATAATTATGATATTTGGATGATAATTCCTTGTAATTTACGGAGGGATTTTATGTGATGGCTAAAAAGTTTACAGAATCCTGAATGCCCTGTAAGGCAGCAATGTTACAAACTTGAGATTTTCTCAGATGGTACTCCTTTGGGTTGGGGAATTGTGCCAGAGGACTTTGGAGTCCTAGGGAAGCTCAGTTTCATATTAATGCACTAGAATTAACTGCGGCCTCATTTGGTCTCTAATGCTTCGCCTCGTATTTGACTAACTGCGAGACACTTTTGAGGATTGATAAGACAACTGCTATTTTGTATGTAAATAGAATAGGGTGAGTAAAATTTCCTGTTTTAAACGAAATTTCGAGGCGCCTTGGGGTTGGTGTGAAGAAAGGAGGTTATGGGTTAAAGCATCTTACATTCGATCTTCCGATAATTTTGAAGCGCATAAGGAACCCACGAATTTGAATTTTGATGGTGAATGGTACCTTTCGGACAATGCTTTTGCTAAAATAACAAGCAAATTTGGATTCCCATAAATCGAACTGTTTGCTTCTCGCCTAAGTAAGAAATGCAGAAAGTTTATTTCCTAATTTCCAGATCCGGAGGCATCTAATGAAGACGCGTTTACTGTTTTTTGGAGCGACAGTTTCTTCTATGTTTTCCCCCCGTTTTGCTTGTTGCCACTTGTTTTACGAAAAATCAAGGCTGATTGAGCTACAGGGATCGCAGTAATCCCTTACGGGCACAGCCAGCATTGGTTTGCTTTTTTTTTCATGGGAGGCGTTGTAGTTATTTATTGTTTCTAATTCCAGACAAATTACCTTCTTCTTTTGACAGGAGAGGTCACCCTTTGTGGAAATCCCTTACCCTGGCTGCAGGGATTTTGTCAGGCAAGCATTCCAGAAGATTTGCTGGATATTTTTCTATCATCTGTTCAGAGCGCTACCTTGAGGCATTTATTACCTGCATGCATTTAAACTTTGGTGGAGCTTCTACGAAAGGAGGGGAGTGGAGTGTTATTACTTCTCACCTAGGCTGTATTAGATTTCCTTACTATTCATTTTAGACAAGACAAGTCCTATGGCTCATTGAGTTCTTTCAGTGCAGCACGGCCTTATTTTTGGATCAGATTTATTTAACAATGCAAATCTAACTAGGTTTTTTAAGGTGTTTATAATCTAAGGCCAAGTAAACCAAGATATAACAGCACTTGGGGCCCTAGTTATGTCCCTGACTTTGTAAAAGGGTTACGTTCTAATGACTTGTCATTAAAGCAATTAACTGTCATTAAAACAATTAAATTAGTTTCTCCTACTGAAGTTAACGATTGTACATAGAGTCCAAACGCTCTCTCTTATAGAATTGGTCAACATAAAATCATTTCCAGATGGATTAGAAATTAGAATAACGAATCAAATTAAGATTTCAGCTATAAATAAGACTCGACCTGTTTTTTAATTTTGCATATATATATTATTGAGAGGGCCAGTGCTTTAAGAGGCAGTGAATCTCGTTTACTCATTACATTTAAAAAGCCTTGTAGGGCAGCAACTATACCCAACAAAAGTAGATGAATAAAGATAACTTTAGAAGATAGTGTTGTCTACACTTTTATTTTTACTGTTCACAGAACTCGACATGCCTCAACATCGTCTGCGTTTTGTAAAGGTGTTTCAATTGATATGATTGGAAAAACGGCAGATTGGTGAGAATGCTCTAAATGTTTTCCCCTTTTTTATAATATATTTGTACAGCAAGTGCAGTCCTTTTTGTTAATGCCACATTTGGGACATAGAATTTTTCAGAAGGTTTGTTTTCTCGGATAGCCATTTATTTTGTATTTGTACTCGAGGCTTTCATAAACTTCCTGGATTTCCTTATATAGCCGAATAAAATCGTTTTATAACAAATTTGCTGAGTTGCCTTTGAAAGTCTACGTATATTGATTTCATAGAAGAGGTGTAACATATAATTCAATGATCAAACGAACTTACCTGGTAAGTGAAGTTCGATCGTAATTATATGTTACACCTCTTCGTAGAAATCACCCATTCCCGCCCAATTTACTGTTCTGAACAGTACTAAAATGCCCTTTGGCAAATTTATTATAAACGGGCTTTAAAATAGAATGAGGTTAAGACCATAGATGGCGAATATACCGTCCATGGTAAGTTATTCCACAGTTTTTTGGCTCTGCTTTAAAGCTGTGGTGCCACCTAGCGACTAGAAGGGGGACTACGTATATTGATTTCTACGAAGAGGTGTAACATATAATTACGATCGAACTTCACTTACCAGGTAAGTTCGTTTGATCATTGAATAATATTTTATTTAAATTTTCGAAATTTTTATTTTCTTAAACATACCATACAGTAGAATACAATATTTAATTATGCTATATTGTAATATTGAAATATTAATTTCATAATTAAATTCCCTTAACTCATCAATAAAATACAAATACAAATAAAAAATATAAATATGTTTATTGTTAATTTGATTTGAATTTTTATAATTAAATTTGAATTTAATTTAACAATTATTGGTTAAATTTACACATTTAGGTAAATTGCTGTGCAGTCTTCTTTCAAATGACACTCCTTAAAAGGTGCACACACCGTGTGCCAAATATAATTTCGCACAGAAGTTTCTTGGACTCTCCTGAAGATTGAAAATATCATAATTTTGGTGATACAAGGTGTCCCAAAAGTGTCCCCTACGACATCAACTTTGTTATTTTAAATGGAACACTCCGACGTTTTTGGAATCCTTGGTTAAAATAAAGGTCACTTTCTTAAGAAATTCGAATCGTGCATAGTTTAGGCAGAAATTGAAGTTATGTTTTTTTTTTTATATTTTGATTGCCCCATATAAAATTGTGTTGTGAAAATTTACCCGCAGATTAAGGAGACGATGCACTACTCAATCAATTTGACAGATGCGCCTCAGCTTATACAGAGTGTGCCAAATAGGTGGTGCCGTTTTGGCGAATTCAATTAACAAAATCTCAAGATTTTCAAATGGAAGAACACCCTACATTTTTATTCAGATATCAATTCTACGACAAAAAATATACTTTTTGAGATATTATAATTAATTCATTAATTAATTTTTAATTTATTAATATTAGGATTCCAAAAATGCCGAAATATATAGGGTGTTCCTTTTAAAATAACAAAGTTGATGTCGGGGTGGACACTTTTGGGACACCTTGTATCAACAAAATTATAATATTTTAAATCTTCAAGAGAATCCAGGAAACTTTTGTACGAAACTTTTTTTCGTAGCTCCTATGGGTTTCCAGATCGTACAGTGGGCAGTTTTATTTGGCACACGGTGTACATACCTACTGCACTTTTCTGATAAATAAATTTTATTTTTTACACCTATTTTAAGAAAATATGCAAATTACCATTAAGAATCATATTCGCAAATACAGTGACTAATATAAACGATCAAGAGAAAGACCACAATCTCCATTATTACAGCCGACTTTTTTATTGTCATTTATCTATTACGTCTGTGCCATTCTAGATTACAACGAATTCACTGGGTGTACGTACCATTTAAATTTAAATTTTGATAATGTCTAATATTTTTGGCACAAGTCACCATTTAATCGACCATTTCAGATCTGAGAAATAAATATTTTTTCTTAAAAACAATCTCTCCCGCTATCATCCAACGCTGACAATTATTGCTCGCACCGAAATAAGCCGTAAAACGATTCTCGTGTCGACGAAATTAGACAAAAATTCCTTCGAAAAAACATGTCCAACGCGTATCGAATTAAAACTAAATTAATATCGCATTAGGGCTGCCCCCTCCCGCGCCCGCGCGCGCGCCCACTTCCCGTGTTCGTATTCTTCATTCTTCGTATCCTTCGGACGGAGAAGATGCGCGCTCTCCCTCCATCTACATTATCTTCTATTCGAAATTACCGCTATATACGCGCCGCGCGAACAAAAACCTTTTGTAATAATTGCTATTATTTTCGGCGGCCTCGTATACGCTTTTTTTCCTATCTCTGTCTGTCTCTCTTTCTCTCTCCCTAAGCAGCGGACCGCAGGTACCTTTCAAAATGAACGAATAGAAAAATGGCTTTCGGGCGTCGGGTTCGTTAGACCATCTTTTTTGGACGTCTCTACGCGTCTCTGCGTTTTGAGTAACCATACACGCGATCTTTCGGTTTGCCAAATATGTTCAATACAAGACCGGTGATTTGCCATAGACGACAGTTCCAGATGAGATTCATGCTAGTGGCTTCTTTAGCGCTGCCTGTACGTTCTTCTAGCAAGAAAAATTGGAGAGTCTATCATCAAAACTTCCTAATAACATGTTTGGCGTGGAGTTTACGTACAAGGTCTACAGCCTCAAGAAGTTTTTTTTTAATTAAATTCAGAGCACTTTGACTTGTTGGGTGTTATTTCTGGTTTAAATTGCAGATATTGCTTTTATTTACTTCGTAATTCTTTTCTTTAATTTTTCATTATCGGTGTCATTTTTATCATGTATTATTTCTTATACGGTTCTATTTTTCTTTTATCGAACTTCTACAGGACTAAATATTTGACTTGGTTTTTAAAAAAAGCGGAATGACCGTGCAACTATTAAACGTGGTCGGGTTGTATAACAAAAAAAATTGAAAATGAAAATTTTGTACATCACGCGATTCATTTATTTCTCAAAAGCAAACGTAAAATGCTTGTTGTTTTAAAATTAAGTAGTTTTCGTTCGTTTCTAATGCTATGCCAAATAGAAATGTGAAAAATGAATGCCAGTTTTGAATGTAATTTTGTAAATAATTCTAATGCGTAATTTTACGTTGTTCGCTTTTTTCTAGCAAGCTCGTAAATAGTATATTGAAATCAATTACCATTAAAAGGAACAGGGATAACTCTACATTAAGGTATCTACGCATGGTTTCTTAGATACCGACTATCGGGCAAAGGCAGGGTACGAAATGTGGAAAAGTTATATGTATATATTTCTCGCACCCGCTACAACGAACTTTAAATCCTCAAAAAAGGCAATTTTCCGAGATTTTCAGTTTCAATAATTATTAAAAAATGTTTCCCCGCCCTCCAATCCCCCAGTTCCAATAGATACCTCTGCATCGTTTCATAGCGATGAAAACTGAAAATCGAAAGAAAAGATGGACGCCGGGGTAGATGCTACATTTAGACGAATTTTTTATCCCCAGATAATAATAATAAACTGACTTTATTGCAAATTAAAATATTACACTGTAAGTCATAATACAAGAGTGGCGACATTTGCAAATTGCACCCTTCCATGTAACCAGAAGAACAATAGCACCAACACCATAATTGTTAACAAAATATACACCAGAATATACATCGTAAATACAAGAAATAGACGCACATCATAAACTCATACCCTTTTGCTAAATTCTGTCGGGCCTAATAAACAATATTAACGCTTCTTGTGGGAAGGGACGTTATATGATAAAGTATCTCTGGAAAGTTACCGAAGTGTGTCTAGGAACGCAATATCTTAAACAATGACGGGTGTCTTATTTGAGTTTAGGAAAAAAACAAACTGAACTTTATAACGGTCCTCCAGCTCGAGCCAACCCAAATCAGAGAGGCACTGGGAAATACGGCCATACTCTCTGAGATTATAACTAAAACGAATATAAGCATTCTGAAGTCGTTGGACTGTAATAAGCGACATGGGCTAAAACTAACATATCGCAGAGTTTAAGTTTGACTTCTCTACTGAGAAAATGCTTATGAATATACGAACAACTTATAGAAGGATTTTTGTAACATCGAGCTGCTAAGAAAACCGCAAGTCACCGTCAAACCATAATACTAAATTTTTACACCCGTCTGAAGGAGAGATAAACTCATCATTTAGCGTAATCTTAAAAGCGTTTCTTACAATATCTTCCCTTTTAGTTTCAAATAATAACATCTGCGTTTTCATTCAATAAGAGGTTCGTTCGATTCAATAAGAGGTTATGAGCCCCAGACACCTCCGACATTATTATTAGAACTAAATTTATTTTGGTAGCAGCATTCAAAGCTTCACTAACAATAAAAGATAACTGGGTATCCATCAGCGTATTGATGAGATTTACAAAATTTAAGCAAAGTAGGGTCAGATGTTTAAACTGAGAATCGAAAAGGTCCTAGAATACCCCTCTCCAAAGTAATGGCATCTAAATGAGTGTTTCCTACAACTAGCTTTTGGTATATCTAACAAAGAAAATTTTTAAAAAATGAAAGAGCAGTACCTTTTATCCCGAAGAATTTCAGTTTACCTAAGAGAAGGAAATGATCCAAGGTGTCGAACACTTTGCTATAGTCCAAGAATAAATCATCAGTAACATGAAGCAAAGCAGAAGTAGTGCTGTGAAGAGGTCGAAACTCGATTGAGTGTCTGGGAGGATTTTGTTATCGCATAGGAAGTGACGAAGTTGTTTAGCTGCAATTTTTTCGATAACCTTTGATATGGTTAGCAACAAACTGATTGTTCTAAAATCGTCATTGTCAATTGGACAATTTTTCTTTGGAACGGGTCTTCAACTTGCTTCCAAGAGTCCGGAAAAACCTCGGTCAACAGACACTTGTTAACAAGGAAAGTGATATGATCGACTAAATACGGGGTGTCAAAAGAATCATTTTTATATCAACATTGTCTGAACCATGAGCGTTAGTTTTAATCGTGGACTGTTAAAAAGGAGTCAACCTAAGTCAAAAAAGGTCAACATTATTTTTTTGGGAAGTAAGATAAAAAAGGGAAAGGTGTGTTTTTTTCAGAGTGCTTCAGAACTTCACACGCGAACCAGTCCGGAACGCGGCCACTGCGTTGAATATTTTGTTATGGCGGTTCCGATAGGAGCGGCGGCGGCGTTGCCGCCCGGGGCCGGCCGCTGAATTTATTAGGTACGCTCGCGGATAAAGAAAAATCGCTCGTTCTGGTATGTTCTTCTTCCTCGTTCGAGATTATTAGTGCCTCACACTTAAGGTAGAAAGATAAATTCAGCGAGTGTCTGGGATTCTTTATCTCGAAATTAATATCGAGCGGTACCGATTATAAGAACGGGATACATATAGCTTATAACTAATAACTAGGAAACGGCACGCGGCCCAATTGTAACACAATTTTAAAGTACAGGGTGGCCGTAATTGGAGGGTTTTAACTATTTTTAAGCTAGATGCAACAAAATTGCCGATTACTTTTTTATTAATCATTCATAAAAAATGGTGAAGATTTAAAGGATTTTTTGTATGTATGTATGTATAAG